CGTAACGCTACTGATGAGGTTAGAATATCCTTTTGTGTGAAGACATAAATAAAATCCAAATATCTGCCCTTGCAACACCCTGCAGGTGTTGCAGGTATTGCAGGGCCACATTTACAAATCCCATATCATGTTTTCAAACAGAAGTTTTTGTACATTTTTGTACATTTCAGATCCTGACTGGAACTGTAAACTCCTCTGGCAAAAGGAAATGGATGTGCACATCTGGAAGTGGTGGTAATGCATTTGTGGCAACAAGCTGATATTTAAAGATTTTTGCTTTTAAAAATTGCAACTCAGTAGTGCTCGGTTAATAACAGCATCTATGTATGTGTCTGATGCCACAGTCAATTAACTATTACAGATGCAGGGCTCCAACTGAGTCAAGAAATAGGACAACATCAATGTCTGAGATATAAAATCTGAATGAGAGCCAAGGAGAACGTGGGGAACCCCTCCAATGAAACTACTCTCTGGGAAGGGACTCTTAATTTCACAATATAGAGTGTAATTTAATAGTGAATTTTTCCAATAACCAAGTTCATGTTTAGTCTGGAAGACACAGATCAATTCCCTCCACTATTCCCAACTGTGCACCATTTTCAAAGCAGTGCAGATGGCTTATGTGAAAAATATGAATAAGATGCTCCTCAGTACCTTCATATCTTGAGAGCTTTTATCTCATGTTCAGAAGAGTCTTACATTTAATTGAATTTGAATTTAATTTAATTGTTTAATATTTTGATTGCCTCTGTCTCAAGCACTCGGGAACAATGAGAACAAGTATTACATGACCATCCAGCTCTCCATGGATTATAAGTGCTCTGCTAATTTTAAAATGCTGGTATAGGAAAAATAAAAATCAGACTAAGTTAATTGTCTAATGAGAGCTTAAAAATATAATCAAAGATAATCACTGGATTTATTAACAATACAATATTAGTCACTCCTTGTTGTTTGTGCTACTGAATCATCATGCTGCTTGAAGGACAGTTATTAACCCAGAAATATTTTCATCCAAGGGTTTAGACTGCAGCAACTGTGAGAACACGTGGAAGATTCTTCAGTCATTATCTAACCGTTCAGTCCCCATGTGAGTGCCTGACTGGGAAGGTCTGTGACTAGTGGAGATGAATAAACAGTTGGAGGGGAGGTATTTGCCTGTTTAATATATGTGCCAAACTGTCATTCTAGGGTCACGGAGACTCGGCAATTCCTGGGGGCTGTCAAACTGATTACACGCAGCAAACGAGCCGGAGCGTCTCTGCCTGCTGCTCGGAGCGAGCACTGATATGCCCAGCAGACTTTACTATCAAGTACGTCCTTATGCCTTCTCGAGATGTTTTGCAGCCTTCACCACGCTGGAGTACTAAGTAATTTAAAAGCTTTCGTATACTTTAAAAATGCCTTGTACTCCAGGGGAGATCTTTGTTCCTAGTTTATAGCCTGAACCAGCACATTTTTTTGTAGAGGACTAGGCACCCAGCATAGATGTATAATTTTTAAGTAGTTGCTTGCATTTCAGCAGCAGGTAAAATGATCTGTGCTTTACATTTTTCTATAATAATTTCTGTAAATGCTGTGAGTTCTTGGGGGTGGAAGGCTCTATAAAAACGTAATTTGCTATTAATAATATTGACTTGCATAACCTTTACAAACACTCATTTTACACTGCATAAATATTTAGAAGGAAATTTACTCTTTTCTTCACACATCATTACATTGTATTTGAGACTATTTAGCACACTTTTCTTCTTTCATTCCCCAAATTAGAGGTCTGTGTTTAAAACTCACAGCTGACTTGACATTCCAGAAACTAAGCATGATTACAAGTTATGTCTCTGTCTTGCAGCAGCATACCCAGTTAAGGAAAGAAATACTATGAGAGCTGAGCTTTTACATTAAGGAGCAAATCTGAGACCATCTTTACGAAAAGGCTTTTTTCCGTTCTTGAAAACATGTATAATATTGTGTTTTGAATCAATAACAGAGCAAGATGGTAGTCCCCTTGTCCTGGCAAAACTACAGTATGGTGATTATATTCCCTCTCAAACTTATCTGAAAAGCTTTTCTTTACTTTCTATCTTTAACTGAAAGATAAGACTGCTGTTTAACAGCAGTGATGTTCCACATATCAGCAATAAGTATTTTTTTGCATATACCCTATTCCAGAATCCTTCAGCTTGATTTTGTATATATTTAAGATATTACTGCTATACCCTATGTGAATTCCAGGGTCATTAATCATTACCTATTATTCCCTCCCAGCTCCAGATATTCATAAAAGAAAATCCAAACAAATTCTCCTTACTTGTCTGACAAAGTCACTGCCATCCTGACAGCTGCAAAGATCTAACTCCCCTACTTGTCAGCACTGGAGTACTCTTGCAGTGAGTCTGAAAAACACCAGACACAATTTATTTTTGCAGCTTTAATCACCCAACAGTTCGAACTGTACCACTGTAACGTGGAGGGAAAAGGGCTATTTGCGATGTAGGTGGAATAGGTATTTAGACAATGTAATTCAGGGGAAAAAAAAATAGCATCTTATATTTGATGAAATGAGAAAAAACTTTAAGAAGGTTAGAGAATGGGGAATATAATCTTCTCTAATTACATCAACACATCACAGATACCATAGGACTATAATTGTATAGTCTAGTCTCAATTCAAGGACTGAAACTGCTTTAGGTATTAGTTGCAGGTAATGAAAAATATTGGAAAACGGTGAAAGGAGGTGACTGAATATTTGCATCTATTAAACACCTAATGTTTATATATTTATAGTATTAGTATAATATTTTATATTAAAATATTATAATAGTATTGCCTATGAGGTGTCAGGTGTTGTTTCTGAAAAATTATCGTAGAGCAACAGAACTCATTTAACAGCAAGGACCTAAATGCCATTTTCTTTCTTTTTCTAAAAAGACTCCATGGACTTTCAAATACAAAAACAGAACGGATTTAGACTAAGCTCAGACTTGTGCTGCCACTTGCTTTTTCACAAATACTTGAGTCATGTTCCCCCTGAGCATATATGTTAACAATGCAGTAAGAACAAACAGTAAATCAATTCAGGTGCAAAAGCTGCTCTTTGCTCTCCTTTTCTTTCCTGGGACTCAAACTATTCTAACTCAGTGGCTTAGTTTTACTTCTTTACATCCCTATAAAGAAGTTATAAAAAGTATTGATCTGTTCTGAGAGGAGAGCACAGAAATTGTTGTCAAATTCTTTGAGCCCAGGAACATGTAAGCACCTTCTGTTTCGAGCCATTTAATGAAATGTCCCCAAAACTTAGACAGTTTTGACAGCTGAACTGTTTAAGTGAGGTCTCTTTCAAAAAGCCCAGAAAAAAAATGATTTCTAACAGGTCAGCTGGAGTAAAAGGAGATTGGGGATTTGGAGGTGACTGGAGAAAGAAACTGACAGTAACATAACTTTTTTGACAGAGAGAAAACTGAGAATCAGTTTGGATGAAAGTTTTATTAGGAAGCTGAGAACAGCACAAGTACTAAATGAAAGCAAGCAAGCAAAACAGGAGAGAAAGTAACACTGAAAGGACAGTTATTCTTTTTTAAAAAAGTTAAGCATAATCTGCTTTCTCTTACTGCATGGAAAGCATGGGTTTATATTTTCTTTCTCAAAATTAAATATATAATTAACTCTAATCAATGCATTATGCTTTCTCATATAATAGCTAGTTTTAGGGTAGGATATACAAATCCTTGTGTTGTTTTGAGCAGTTAAGGCTCAAGATTCCTTGATTTCAGACACATCAATGGAACATACTAGTCGCATACTGCAGGTATATGTAGTAATTTATAGAATAAACAAGGGATGCTAGTAGGGAGTAGGAGATGCTGCTTTGATCATGATATTCCTGCTTGGAATTGACTTTCAAACATAAGCCCCATATTTCAGGTATTTGTGGTCCTTTACAGACTGATCTAGAGTAAATTATAGGAGATAAAAGAGGAGGAAAAAAAGCACCAACCAGATTCAACTGCATAATAAAGAGGCTTCAGGAAAACCTGAAGCAAGAAAACGCACATGAACTTACATTGTTTTTTTTAACTGTAAAGTCATCCATATTAATCAAGCTTGGGAGATGCAGATAAAGCATAAGAGAAGTTTTTCAGTGTGATGGGTTTCAAGAAGGCCTTGAGACAGATGTTGATAATTTTGCACTTCCAACACTGGAGAGCTTTGGTGACTCTTTGCATCCAGCAGAGCTCACTGCAGAAATTACTGCTGTCAGTGAGAGCACGGAAGGAATGGATGGCAGCTCCTCTCCCCTGCTATTTGCATGGGGAAGCACAGTATGAATTATGGACACGCCACAGCATTTGTGGGTGGCAGTGGAAGCAAAGACCTAGCTGGTGGGAAGTGACAGCTGGGAATACAAAAGGGAAAGCAATTGGGATTTGGAAGTGAGCACCAATTGAGCTTTTAAAGGCAGAAACAACAGGTGGGAGTATGAATCAGAAAATGACTGAGTTGGCTGAGGAGGCAGGACCTTATTGAATAGAGAATTGGAAGGGCAACTGGGAGAGGAGGCAAGGAAACAGATGAAGAAACGGAATATAGTCTGCCTGGAAAGCAAACGACAAAAGGCAAGTTCCTACTTCATCAAAGCTGCACTTGTCTTTTAGCTTTATCATGATATTCATCTGGGAATGATATGCTGCATTTTTTCATGTAAGAGTAGCTCAGCTGTTAACTCCATTTTGCACTTAAAAAGTTAACTCTGACTCTGAAACTGCACTGAGCTCCTTCATGACAAGTGGACAGGAAAGAAGCAAAAAGGGTTATTTTAAGTCTGCTAGCTCGTGGCAGGTGTGCTGGCAGGCGGCTGGGCTCCGTGACCTTATGCAGCGGCGTTCCCGCACTAACCGAGTGGGCTGCCTGTGACTGACAGGGCCACCGTGCCCTTAAAAACGTAACGCCCGAAGCCATCACCTTGGGTCGGCTTCCAGCTCCGCAGCGCTGGCCTCGCCGCGATGAGAGGGGAGTTGCCGGAGGGGGGCAGCGCCCACCTCACGCATCCCGCCGGGGCGCTGCCTCCGCAGGGCTCC